GTGTAACACTCTTTGGAAAATACTGGTTTAAAGCATGGGAACGTTCTTTCGAACTTATAAGAAGGAAAGGAAAGGGCACCTTAAGTTTCTGGGTCCTATATTCTAATGCAGTTGTGGTGGTTGAAGTGATGATTCCAGACTAAGAGGGAGAAGTGTTCACCCTCTAGGGTCAAATCCTTTATCTTTGGAGTTTGAAGAGTTTATTTTATCAGATCATTCCAAGGAAACAAGCACAAGAAGTTGATTCATACTGACTAATATTGCTCAAGATGCCTCTAAAAACCAGAATGAGAGTGTGGCATTCTGTTGTTCGATGAGGTCATATGCTGAGCGATCAGGAACATGAGCTCTGAAGTCCAGTAGACCCTGATTCAAATCCCAGCTCCCAGCTTACTTCTTCTGTGACCTCATGTGAGCCTCACATCATAATACTATCTGCCTCCTGAATTAATCCATATAAAATACTTAGTTCAGGAAGTTAATAATTAAGCAGAGAATCAGAACTTGCAGACACTGTGTCTCATGGTAAATATTTCCAGGTTGTGACCGTGTCTGGAGATATAGCCCTATTCTACTGTAGAATAGCTATTAACTGAAGAACATGGAGCTGAGAGCAAACCTTGACTGTGATTAAGGTGGATAATTTTATTCACCATACATTTTCTAAAAACTTTCTCACAAGAGAAGAACTGCAGCTTCTAGTGGGCTTTATGAATTTTGCTCCACAACTAATGAGGAAGTGCCAGGGGGTCATAGAACTACGGGGTCTCTCATCCATTGTAAAGTTGCCCATCTGGCAGAAAGGAGGGTGTGATGGTGATGCAGAGCCATGTGTTGGGGCCATGTGGCATGGGAGGGGGAAGAAGGAGATTATGAGGAGCGCCCAGCAAGAACGAGAGAAAAGTTTTGCACAGTTGCTAAAAGTTCGGAACTTGTGGGGCGCCTGGGTGGCTAGGTCAGTTAAGTGTCTGCCTTCAGCTCAGGTCATGATCTCAGGGTCCTGGGATCGAGCCCCATGTCAGGCTCTTGCATGCTTGTGTGCGCTCTCTCCCTGTCAAATAAATAAATAAAATATTTTTTTAAAAAAAGTGTGGAACTTGTGGGACAGAAAATTATGTTCCAAGATTTCTGGCATGATATAAAACCCCTGAGTACTTCTGCTTTAAGGAAACCTACACAAAAGGTCTACATTATGTTCAAGGTTTCTAACATCAGATTTGTGTTTCCTTTGAGAGCGCTGTCATGCTTATCCTGAGACACATGGGGCTGAGGCATTTATTAGGGTTATAGTGACCAGGCTTCTTTCTTCTTCTTCTTCTTTTTTTTTTTAAAGATTTTATTTATTTATTAGAGAGAATGAGATAGAGAGAGCATGAGAGGGGGGAGGGTCCGAGGGAGAAGCAGACTCACTGCTGAGCAGGGAGCCCGGTGCGGGACTCGATCCCGGGATTCCAGGATCATGACCTGAGTTGGAGGCAGTCGCTTAACCAACTGAGCCACCCAGGCACCCCTTTTTTCTTCTTTCATTCAGTTTTTTTTAGGTCTCCTTATTGCTGTTTCTTACCAGTCACTAGACTCTTTATTCATTGTAACAGCATGTGTTTCCTATCTCAAGATAAATTGCAGTTTATAATATATTATCTTATGTTATTTATATCTTTTATTACATTACCCCTTCTCTTACATGTTAGATAAGTGATTTCACAAAATTTAGGGGTTACTATTATTTCCATCATAGAGTGTTGTACTTTGAAATCATGTTTCAGAGTTGGTTACTTCTGGGAAGACTTCCCATATAGGGCTAATTCTACGTACATATATTATCAGTATCCAGAAGCTGCAGTCTGCCTGTCATCAGACCACATTCTGAGTCAATTTTCAGGAAATCCAGTAATTTCTAAACTATTCAGAAAGTTGGAGAGTGAGACCACATAGGTCATGTAGACTTGAGCACTTGCCATATTTTAATTATTTTCAAATAAGAGCTTAGAGAGAACCAAATATAATTTGGCAGTCCTTGTTTTCCACTGAAGTTGATTCTTGGTAGTTTGGCCCCCAAAAATGGATAAAAATGGTTATAATAAATCATTGTACTCATACTCACCCGTTCACCTTTTAGAATCAAAGAGAAACAAAAATTTGGATACTACAGTTTTTATACAGAAGATAAAACAGGGAGTTCTGACTGGAATATATTTAAAATAGGATCAGGCTTGCATCAATGGAGAGCAATATTGTTCAAACTTTACAGTTTTCTCCTCACAATTTTTTGTTAGATTGTCACTGAGAGCATTCTCAATGGGGAATTCTCAAAGGGAAACAACTCAATTAAACAGCAAATGTCACAAGAATTTTTCTTGAGCTATGCTTCTGAGGTGGCGGGTGGGCTGCAAGAGAGAGGATGGGGTGAGGGAAGAACATCAGAGCCCAGACCATCAACAGAGATGCCCTGTCAACAGGGTGATCTAAGAACTAAGAGCTCCCAGTTTCCATTTTTCTCTCCCACACCATTATTAGTTTATTACTTTGGGCAGAATGTATGGCCTAGTCTTTGGATCAGAAGATATGGTCACCATACTTACCAGAGGAACGTAGATTGCTATGCACAGAAGGTACACAGTGAAGGGAAGGCTAGAGAAGATTTGGAGTTTAAAAGAGAAGGGAAGTTGTATGGGGTAAGGGTAACCAAACACTTGGGTAGGCAAAGAAGAGTCTGCGGAGAGAAAGGGACTGTTGTTGGAGACAACCACTGAGGCAATTGGAATAGACTTAATCACAAACCTAGGTGTGCCTTGGGTAAGAGAAGGCACACAACTTTCTCAGAGCAGGAGAAGAAAACAGAAAACATAGAGGCATTTTACCTAATGGAAGGAGTCCCTGACGTTTGTCAGTTACCATCGTGTAGTAAACATGTGGTAAGCATCAAACACTGTAGCTACACTAGTGGTAAGCACAGCATCATGTTTAAATTTGTCAAATCACTGTGTTGTATGCCTGAAACTAGCATAATGTTGTGTCAGCTGCACTCAAGTAAAAACAAACAAACAAAAAAGAAATGATCAAATCAATGTAAGGAAAATAAAGGTGGGTTTGGGAGTGTGAGAATAGAAAGGCTCCCCTGCAGAGGTAAAGAAGACTAAGTGAGTTATTTAGGAAAAAAATAAATAAATTCATGTCAAGTCTGAAGCTGCCCTGAGGGCCCAGCTGAAGTTAAATAATCCAGAGTAGCAAGGGTCCCATCACTAAGTAGCAGCAATGTCAGTGTCATCATATAGCAGCCCAGAAGCCAAGGATGGATGGTTGAGTTTAGGATTGAAGACTGGGAAGTACACGTGGTGGAAAGTCAAGGAGACTTGGGATGGCATCCTGGGTGTTGTGGGCGCCGTGTTAAAATGCTGACCATGTATGCAAACCAAGACCAAGGAACTGGAAGTCTGTCAAGGATGGAGAGGTTTAGTAGAGAGGATGGGAGGGAAAAGGCAGTCAAATTCAAGGTGGAGGATTTCAGAGTTCAGTACTACAGAGATGGAATACTTTGGAGTGACGATTCCAAGGTTGTCTGCAGTAGGGATTTAAAAGAGTCAAGGATGCCGAGGTCTGAATGTTGATGAAGTCTTCCTTATGAACGGTGCTGTGGTCCAATGTCCAAGCCAAGTGACAGTCAGCAGTGAGGAATGCCAGCCATCAGAAGGGCTTTATTCTGCCAAAGGGTCAGTGAGAATGTTTTAAGAAATCAGGAATGTGAGAAAGATTCTGGAGAAGTAGAATGTGGTCCCCTCATGGAGCACTATGAGAAGTGTGAAGGGGGGAGGGCCAGGAAGGGACTGTCAGGAAGGAAAAGGCGTGAACTGGATGAGGAGTGAGAGCAGTTTGGCTGATGGGGCAGTGTTTCCTGAAGGGCTCCAATCTGCACTAGTCTCACAGAGTGACCTAGTAGGTGTGATATAAAGCGTGCTCTGGGGAGCACTGAATGAAGCAATGGAAATGGATTTCTTTACTGTAGGACCCCTTAGAGCCTTTAACAGTATACCTGTGCACCTCATGTGTTTCCAGGAAGAGGATTTGTGACATGAATATGTGACATTTCCCCAACTTAGCCACAAAACTGGTCATACTTTGAAAAATTCTGTTGGAGGGCTCATCATAGATTTTCAAAGCTTTTTGAGTGGATGGATGGACAGATGGATGGTTAAGTAGATAAATGAGTGAATGACTCGTAGGCAGGAAATTAAGAGACAGATGGGAGGAGTGGTCAAATAACGTGAATTTGTGCTAAGGGAATAATTTGGAGCCTATGAGTGCATTTGGTGCTTCTGTCTAGTGCACTTGCTGCTTTCTGTTCCTCACCACCTTCCTGCCACTTGTGGAGCAGGGAATAAGATTTGTCTTATTTATTTAGATACATCTCCTTACTACCTATTCCTACCTTATTTACAGGTGGTTCTGTCCCTGCAAACCCCCAAATGGTTCTCAGTGGAATTACTGAGGGTAGAATATCAGCAGGTATAATATGAAGTTTTGGACCTTGTGTGCATTGGGTCCCTGGTGTCTCCTGCATGTTTACACACCATGTGCATATGTGTCCACATGCCTCCCCGCACCCCCTGCCACAGCCTTCTTTCCTCTTCCACCTTGGTTGCTGTGCCCACACCCACCCTCATTTTGCTTCACTCTGATGGTTAGCACTGGAGAATGAGGAAGCAAAATAGAGACTTCTCTACTACTCTGCAAAGTGTCATAGTGAACTGGTTAGAGAATGGTATGTTAGATCAATTCTCCTTCTAAAAATGGGGAACTGAGCCTTCACCCATGCCCCAGGGGGCAGGAGCAAGCAGGCAGGACAGTTATCAGAAGGGTCTCCATACCAAGGAAGATAGTAGCTTTTCACCAAGCAGAAACTTGATTAGGAAACCTGTAAGATTTTGAATGGCTCTCAAGTAAATATCTGTTGTAGGGATATCAACCTTGGTGTCACCATAACTTTTGCTGCTTTATTTTAGAACGCCAGCCAGGCACCTCCATGGCCAATTCCAGTGCCCTCCCTTCAAGTTCAGCTGGGATCAGCAAGGAGCTGATTGACCTGCAGCCCCTCATTCAGTTCCCAGAGGAAGTTGCCAGCATCCTGATGGAGCAGGAACAGAACATTTACCGAAGGGTCTTGCCAGTTGACTATCTTTGCTTCTTGACCCGGGACTTGGGCACTCCGGAATGCCAGACATCCCTGCCCTGCCTCAAAGCATCCATCTCAGCTTCAATTCTTACCTCCCAGAACGGAGAGCACAATGCCCTGGAAGATCTGGTGATGAGATTTAATGAGGTAAGAAGCCACTTGGAAATGTACTTGTCAATGACACCCTAGTAAGTGATTTTTAAACGTATTTCTTCTCTTTGGTTTGTCTGTTATTGGTGTCTCATCTGCCTGTTGGTCTTGCCATGTCCACAATGGCTGCTTTGTTTCCAGGCAATGAGATCGATGACACATTGTCATCCTCCCTATCATTGCCCTAGGCCTAACTGTTCCTGTCCTTACCTCTATCTTCACCAAGTGCGTGGGCCTTCTCCCTTTGGACAACCAGTCCCTGCCTCTTTCTCTGCTCTCTTGCCAAAATATTCTCCCCGGGCTCATTTTCCAGTATTCCCCCCACCTTGTACAGGTGCTTTTAAGACCAAATGTCTCAATTTTGTGTTTTGACCACGTGATCCCTGGCCATGGGATCTGTCTAACCCACCCTCTTTTCCACTCTCAGGGCCTCTCAGCAGAAATGTAAAAACTGATGCACCTGGGTCAGAAGCACGGGGAGGAATGTGGGTTCCAGGGGCACTCAATACCCCCACTTCTGTTCCCTGCACCCCATCAAGATCCTCAACACCAGAAATCCCTCCAAGTCCTCTGAGACCTTACCATAAGCCAATGCTGGAAAGGACAGCTGTGACCAGAGTCTGGGAATACTTGAGAGGAAGGCACTGTAAGAGGTCAAGGGGCTGGGGGTGGGGGGAAAGAGCCAAGGGTTGGCGTCGTGTGGCCCTGGAACAAGGACGAGGGACAGGAAGGAAAGGCAGGTCTCCATCCAGTATATCTGTGATGGACAGAGGGTCCATCAGACTAAATGTCAGTGACTTTGATAAGGCCCATGGATGCAGAAGTTTTAGAGGCTGAGCCCAAGTAGTTCTGTGCCCAGACATGCCCCAATCACCATTCCTCAGAAGGAGGTCTGTTATCCATAGGAATCGCTGATACCATCTGGCAGTATCATGCTCATCGTTTTACATGTACCATTTATTTGTTTCTCACAACAACCTTGGGAGACAGATGCTTTCATTAGGCCCATCTTACCAGTGGAGACACTGGGGCATGAGGAGGTGAAGTCATTTGCCCAGAGTTACGTGGGTGGTAGGTAGCAATAGTAATATTCAGACCTACATAGTCAGGCCCCAAAGCCGGACTGTGAACCACTCCACTCCCACCTGGATCAGGCTCGTGTTGAGGGGTGGCACCTGGCCCCACTCCAAACTGAGCAACACTGACTCTCTGGGAGTTCGCTTGAGAGCCCGTGAACCACACTGCCCCTAAATTGCTTTTTAAAATAAATCTGATGTTCTTGATTTTCCTTACTGATAACAACAGGGTAGAAATGGAAGTTCCAGTACATTGAGTGTTTTATTTGTGGATTTACTGTATGTTGTGTAGTGCTTTAAACTTCCAGATCTCCTTATTCTCACAGCCTTGGGATCTTATCCTTGTCCGTTGTGGTTGTGGTTGTTTTAAATTCTACCTGAAGTTTTGCCTTGCCTGAACTTTTAAAATCTAATTTTAAATTAATTTTGGGGAAAGAAAATTTCGGTTTCTTCCATTCACTCCCATAACCTCAAGAATCAAAGATGAATCAGTGATTTCGCTAATTCAGAGTTAGTGATGATACAAAGCACAGCTGGGTTGAGGCATGCTTTGGACTATCTCTGAAAATAGTTTAGCTAAGCAACTTCAGAACATAAACAAGATTTCTGGGAAAACACTTAAACTACTTAAGAGGACAGTCTGTTTTCAAGTATTCTCAAGCATCTATTTTCATACAAATTAGGATACTGATTCAAAATCAGTCTTACGTAGTCATTACAGGCAGATCCGAAATGACCTCTAGTAGGCAACACTGGGCTAGCTAAATTCTAGTTGCTTTCTATACCTTAGTGTAGAAAGGCTGCATTACATTAAAAGAGAATTCTTAAGATGTTCGCCTATTTAGAAGGGTCTTGCCTTCAGAGTAGTGTGGCTTTACCTTCTATAAGGAAAAGGGAGGACAGGAGCCAGCATTTATTTACTAGGTGCTATGGACTGGACATTTTCACATTTTTAAATCCTATTTAATCCTCATGATAGTTGTGTAAGGCTGTTGCCATTCTCCCTGACTCACAGATAAAAAAAGTGAAGCTTAAGTAACAAAATAAATGATAGTGTTAGATTATAGTTCATAGAATAAGTATTCTTGAGTCCATACTGATAAAAATAAATGAATAAATTCATTAATGGGAGGGGAGGGGAAGCTCTTAATTATAAAAGAATCTAATTAATAAATGTAGAGGGATGAAAGAAATAGGAAATCACCTTGAGGACCCCCCCAGCAATAAATTGTTACAAGCAAGAACCACTAAAACAAACAAAACAACAACAACAACAACAAAAACCAAGAACCACTGATGAATGCTAATATTTTGGGGCAAAAATACGATGAGAAAAAAGATATTGGCTTAGTCTAAAAGTATCTCTCCACAAGACGTGTCTGGTTGACTCAGTTGGCAGAACATTTGAGTCTTGATCTCGGGGTCATGAGTTCAAGCCCCACATTGGGTGTAGAGGTTACTTAAGGAAATAACAAAATAAATAAAAAGTCAGAATATCTCTCCATAAAATATTTATTAATTAGAAAAGAAAAAATAGAACAGTGGAAAAACCCAGTAGACACCACCTTAAGTAAATGTTCAAGGTCACCATGACCAGTAAGAAGACATATTGACAGATAACTCTTGCTGTAGTGCACTAGGAAGGACATGACATCATCTCTGTGACGTTCTTGACACCAAAATAAATAAATAAATAATGCATAACCTAAATCTAATCACGAGGGAAAAAAACCATCAGACAACCCCAGATTGAGGGACATTCTACTCTTCAAAAGTATCAAGGTCATGAAAGGTATGGAAAGACTGAGGAACTGTCAAAGACTGGAGGAGACAAGGAGACATGATAACTAAGTGCAGTGGGGGAACCTACTGTATACAGGGCTAGGAAAAAAAATATATTAATGGGGAAATTAGTGAAATTCTAATAAGGAATATGGCTGTATTGTATTAATGGATCAATGTTAATTTCTTCATCTTGATAATGGTACTATGGTTATGAAGGATGCTAATATTAGCAGAAGCTGGGTGAACTGTATACAGGAACTTTCCATACTATTTTTGCAACTTTTCTATAAATCTAAAATTACTTCAAAATAAAAGGTTAAAAAATCAAAAATCTAGTGCAGCTCAGAGAGGTTGAGTCACTTGTTCAAAGTCACATAGCGGCTGAGTGAATGTCAGAATCCAGATGTCTGTCTTCACAGTCTACTCTCTTCTAACCCAACTGCCTTGCCCCTCCTCTCTGCTTAATTATCAAAGTCAAGTTTGTAGTACCAGAATTGCTGATTGAGAATTTAATTAATTTTGAGTTTCCTTTCCCTTTTCCCTCTCTTTCTACTTCCTTTCTAAATCTCCTGTGCATCTACTCTTTTTCTACTCCTCTTGCTGTTTCTATTTTTATCTAATTTCCTATTATCACTCATCCATTCATTCACTTAAGACTTATTTATTGAGCACCTCCTGTGCTATAGCCTTCTCTTTTTTTTGCTGATGTGTCAAACATAATATTCTTTTAAGTAAGAAATTAGCAGTATATGATAAAAATCTATGACATTATAAGACCATATTTTGGTTCTGTCGAAATTGGATACACAAAGTAAATGCAATTTCCTCAGTGGGAGGAAGGTATCTGTTGCTTGGAAGGCTGGAGAATCTCAAAGACAAGATAGAGAATATTAGCTCCGTGGCAGGAGTGCTAGTCACTTAGGGGAGAGGTGAATGCATTTATTTATGCATTCAGTTATTCAGTGCACATATTTTCAGCACTTCTCAGAAGCAGGGCACCATGGTGGATAAGCACTGAGGAAAATGAGTAACAGTCTGCGGCTGCCAGGAGGTGCCAGTCTTAAATTGTAGTCAGGCACAGGCACAAATCACTACCAAAAAAGGCAGAAAGTCCGTGCAGTGTGAGTGGCACAGATGTGGAAGCTGAGGTGTCTAGATGGGTGATTATAGCTCTCTCTGCTTAGCTTTGGAGGTTGGTGCTGGGCCTTGAGGGATGGGTGGGCTAGAGAGGGGACATCACAGGAAATGGAGGATATTCCAGACAAGAAGACAGCCAGTTGTTCTGAGCAAGACTCATTGTCTAGGGAGGAAGCTTGCTCCTGATTGTCAATAGAACATTATTCTGAGCTAGAAGTTTCCCAAGTTCTAACAACTCTTTCCCCAATGACTTAACCGTGATGTGGGGAAAGGGAAGAAAATCCCTGATGCCTTTTGGGCAATGTTGCATAACACTTGTTCTTAGGAAAATATGGTTAAAATGCAATTCAAAGTACAATCATAAAATAACTGAAAAAATGGCTTACATTAAGGAAGGCCAGGAGATAAATCATTGAGAATCAATTTAGTTTGTGGCTTGGAAGCAGTGTTTCTCCCCGTTCCCCCTACTCCTGCCCAACATCAAGACTGGTGTACATCAGAGTAACTTTTCAAGGGAGTCAGTTCTTTAACCTCGCAAGTAAATGGAAGATGCAGAGCATCAGCCCCGAAGCCAGTGGTAGTCAGATGGGGCTTGAGGGGTGTGGATAAGCTCAGTCCTGCTTTGCTTGATTTGGGAGGCAGGTCTTCCTGAACGCTTTTGATCTGGACATCTCACTGTAGTCATACTCTGATCTAATTCTCCAAGAAACCAGTGTTCATTCTTTCTCTCTTCAGGTTGAGCAACCTCACTTCCTGGCCACCCACAAAGTCTCTTACTTTGACAGTCTCAAATCATCCTGGGGGTTTTCCCCCCACTTTCTTCCCCTATCCAGCCTCTGCCTCTAGCCCAGATTCCTTTTGATCTTACTGTTGTTGTTTTTTTTTTTTCATTTCTTTTAGAATAAATTCCAGAGCCGTTTTTCTTTTCTAGAGGAGCCAGAGAGACATGTCTTTGTAGATAACGTCACTGAAGAGATTGCATACTTTAGAAGCAGAGAC